TTATGAAGTTCATATATTTTGAACTGCGGTATTAGATACGCATGATGCACAATCCTCGCAGTAGATAGCGCTATTGCTTAAATACACTGTAGCGCTATTGCTTAAATAGCGCTATCTACTGCGAGGATCGTGCATCATACGTATCTAATACCGCAGTTCAAAATATATGAACTTCGTATATTTCATTGTACTGATTTATCACTTTCACGGGTTTATTACGAATCAACTTAACGGCCTGCTCCCAGTTGGCTTGTTAGCTTGATTGGTAAGAGCGCTGCACTAGTATCGCAGAGGTCAGTGGTTCGAATCCCGTACAGGCCTGATTTTTTTCAGGTCTGATTTTCACTATTGCTTAAATAGCGCTATCTACTGTGAGGATCATGCATCATACATATCTAATACCGCAATTCAAAATATATGAACTTCATATATTTCATTGTAGTGACACAGTGTGGAGAAATTAGAAGCTATACCTAATGTCTTGTTGTTTCGAGGAGAAGATGGAGAGTGAGACCCTGCTGTGGTATCCAGTGATGACAATGAAGTTGCACTGCCGTTCAATGATCTGGGACTCTGTTTGGGAAGCTTAACATGAAGCCCTGCATTTCAAAACAGTTTGAAAGCAAAGAAAACTTAATTAATTGATTAATCAATGAACAAATTCAGTACATGTAACATTAACAGAACTCTGAGTGGATATCTCTCTAGTTGGACTGCTGTTAGTTAGTTCCCTTTAAACATTTTATGGGAACATAGATATGAAAAGATAACCATTTCCATACAGAATACAGGTCACGATCTTCAGTAAAGAGTATAATGAATTTATAAATTCAAACTGTTGCATATTTTGATGAATTGAAAAACACAATCACCTGAACCCAATACCATAATAAAACTAAATTAAAAAGGTTTGTATGCATTCTAAAAATTAATTAAATCCTGGAGAAGTATCATAACTAATAATCTTCAACATTTTTTCCACCAACGGAAAACAAGCAAAATCAAAGAACAATGTAAAAAATTAGTATAAAACTAAATGCAGCTTTGAAAATACCAATAACTGGCAAGGTGCTTGTTTAGCAAATGAATACTGTTCTTATTTACAAGAAAGTATGACAAATTACATCAATTAACATTCAAGTTATTTGTACAAGTTCAAAGTGTAACACAAAACTATTTGGGTAGATTCATGGTATATACAGGTATACAATGCATAAAATATACAGCAAAGTCTGTCATTTGCACCCAAACAAGACACAGCAAACTTGAACTACATTTTGTACCTTATTGTTAGAGCTATCTGTTTATAACAGCCCTAAATTTTAAGATGTTTTGAAGAGCAAACTAATTGTGGTCAAAATTTCAATATTCAAATTCAGGAAGAATGTAGTCAAGGTTTTATAAAGAGATGTAACAGCAGAAGATTAATATTATCATTCAATCACAGGTAAAATAATTCTTAACACACTGTAATCAACAAAATTTAGTCTGAGAATTCTAAAATAAGTAGGTGGACAAATTTCTAATCTACACTGCCTCAGGAACATCTAGTTGCAGGTACAAAAGTACAAACCAGAGTATAAAAGAACATTGACAGAACTCTACCTGTCATGACAACGAAAAATCCTTTTAGTTTCCACTCTTCAATAAAAACCCATCTACCACCTTTGAATACATCAACTTTAAGAAATCCTGTACATGAATTTTCAAATAGACTTCAACTCTCAACAAATGCAACCCACTAACCGTAAAAATTGAGTGGTAATTTGTACAGCTGCTAATTTTATTTTTTTAGGATGACATAAATAATGTAAAACTACTGTCTACAGACAAAACTACACTGGAAATACAAGCACAGTGCATCAATCAGAGAATCACTGAATGTGATTGGCTGGCAAACACAGCTTGATACAAAAAACATTGCATACCTAGCTCTTTGCGCTTAAAAAATGTTTTCATAAGCAGTCACACTTAGTCTAAACAAGTTGTACTGCACGCTAGAAATAAATGTACTCAGCTTGCAGATCTAAGTTAGCTGACAAAAGTTGCAGGATACAGGTACCTCTAAAATGTATAAAGATATATAATATAAAGTATATTAAAGTAGAATTTAATGCATTGGTTACTTACAGACTCCAGAGCCACTCAGATAATTATACTTTGACTAAAAAATGCACATAAAACACTCCAAAAATTGCATTGTGAATGCAAATAAAAATGAAGATTGGCATCAAAATTTCACGTGTGAGCATTTAGCTTGACAAATCTGCCTCATTACTATGTATGAGCTAGGCCTTTTGTTTTTCTATTGCTGATGGTTTACTGTTTTAAAGAATAGGTTACAATGTAAGAGCACTAAAATACTTCACAGCTACCAGTGACAAATTAAAATTCTTTGTTTCAATCACCATTTGAATCAACCTTCCTGATATACCTATGACATACTAATGTGACTTCTTAACTGGAATTTATATAGGAGCACTTGCCTTCCAATTATTTTTTACAAAAAAAAACCAATTTGCTCTTTAGAAACAGGCCTTCAAAAAACTGTCAATTATTACATCCCAATTAAACCAAAACAATAATTAACAAATGAAATAAAGGCTGATAGTTTCTAAAGAAACTGTTTGAGCTGCATCGGTGGGGGTAATGAAATAATTTGGATGTATCAACAAAGTTGAAATGGTACATTAGCCACTGTAATGATTACAAAAGCTGACGTTTCGAGCGTTAGCCCTTCGCTCCAACAAGTTTGGTTGGCGTGCCATATTAATAATAAACTATATACTACACTTGCTTGCTTGAGTTGTAGTAGCGCTGTCCTTTTTGTACAGTGTTGTAGTTTTTGTACCTGTAGACTTTGCACCAATATTCCTCAGTACAGCTCTAACTCTCGTTTAGTATAAAGTTATTACACTACACAACATTGAGAACAAAAAACTGTTACGAGCTCAAGGAAAATATATAAAATTTAAAATTTATGTTCTAAATAAAATGCAAAATTATTGATTGTCACAGAAAATATACGCCAAATAGACACAAAGATCTTGAAGCATTGACTGGGGGATATAATCTGCCACTATATAATAAAAAACCTATCTCTCCAAGACATTTTAAATCACTCTGCTCTGACTCAAAACATTTGACTCCCAGAGGTGATTAACATGAAAATTCTCCCTGATAACAATACATGATACAAAATAGTGTAATCTTTCCTTTAAAAAAAGTGTTAGCTGCCAACTTAAGGAAGAAAGAATGGTGGTTGAGACTGTTTTTTTGAGAGCAATTACTAAGGACAAACTTGAAACATGTACAGTGGGCTCAATTTTCTAAGATGGCAAAGACTTAAAACTATTTGTTTAGCCACACAAACATTATTGTTTACTTAGAATTTCTATTCCATTGAAAATCAGTATGACACCTACTGTGTACTTTGAAAACAACTTCAATAAAAAGAATACCTATCTTTGCAGGTTTTTCATACTGCAATTTTTTCCCCAGACTCTTGCACTTATCATTTGAAGACTTCATATGGTTGCCAAGAAATTCCCAATATTCAGAAATGAAAATGCAAGCAATCACAAAATAGAAAAGACAAGTAGTTGATAAATACGGAACCACCAAACCGGTAAAATTTGAGTTCAGTTGTGTGCCATTTTCTTAGAAAAATATCTCTAAACAAACTTGATTCAAATTAAGCAAGAAGCCCCAGTGAGTGGATGCTCTCTATGGAAGACTCTTTAAAAACAAGCTGGAAAACAACCAGTTTAAAACTAAACTCAGACAAGCTGCAGTGCAATCACGTCCCCGCATTTAGAAGATTTATTTCCTCCAGGTAAAATTAGCTAAATGCCAGCTGCATAATTTTTAAATAAATTTGCGACACCTTTCAGCTGTTAGCACATTCATCTGACTATTGGCTTTCGTGAAAACTTTGTAAGAATCCTAAAATCTCCATGCAATCTAAAACACGTTTCAACGACCACGTAAATTAATTACTATCATTTTTTTTTTCAATGTTAACTGCTTTAAAAATATCATGTAGACTCCATTGTAATAAAATCACAACACACTTAGCAAAATAATAAAAATTACGATTACAAAATTCGACGCTCCTTGGAATTCGATCACGAGTAAGATGTCCAACTGAGATAAAATATCAGATGGATGAAATTGCATTCCGAGTTCAAAACCATACAATCCCGCGATCGAAAATAACGAACAAATTACAGCTATTGTAACATATTTTGCTATTTACACAATTCAAAACTATGGAATAACTATCGAGAAACACGTAACGAATATGGCCGCGCTCGAGAGGAGAGCATAGAGGTGAAAGGCATTACTTTTATAGCTTATATTGATTATAGAGCCCAAAGAAAGCTTTCGAAAGAAGGAAACAAATATTCAAATGTTTCTACCTCAAATAAAGAACCCCGAAGGAATCAACGTACGGCATTCACGGACGAACAGGCCCTGCGCAAATGTTCATTCCTTTATCAAAACGATTTCGATGGACTTCGCTCTAAGGTAAACAACGATGTAATTGGTAGAAATAAAGCCGAACCACTGAGCAACTGAGGTCATGAATAAATGATAACTTGTGACGAAATGATCTTCAGAGAGACAATCGATGTGCATCGATAAACTGCTCGCTTCTTCATGTTATATTGACATGTTTATGTGTGACCTTGAGATGTAAGGTCAACGATAACCGTAAACGACGATTAGCCTTCGCGGCATATGTACTTATTCGCATCTCAGTGCTAACAGGAAAAAGAGCTGACAACATGGCGGCTTCCCACCCAAAAGAAAAATTTCCAGCGCTTAGCCAAAGTTAAAGAACTGCAAGTTATCTAACTGTTCCATGCCGCACAAGGCAAGATCAACGACTTGGTAACGATTGTAATCAACATGCGAGTCTAGACACAAAGCAACTACCTACAGTAATGACACCCACACATAAAATAAATCGTATTTTGAGCTCATCTGAGTCCTCAAAGAAATACATGCAATAAATAATTAGGTGTGAATCAAAGTTTTTCGATCAATGAGAAGCAAAATATGCGAATATTACCTCGAACATGTCTTCGTGGAGATGCAGGAGGTTTCGACATCAGTTCTCGAGCTCACAGCGGACGATTGCGGAAAATTTTCGCCACTGTAACCAGCGTTTTTCAAGTTCCTCGCTCGTCAAATACAGTATACCGTCTGACACTTTTAGAGCCATCGAATGCACAAATTACTGGATGAGCAGCTTACATTATACTCGTATCATTCTCTTCCATGATAAAGGTCCTTTAAGATTTTTTGTGTTTATCTTCCCATGATGCAATTAGGGTTTTTTAATCGAGGTAGCGGAAATGGCGTTGTGATGGAGGAAAAAGTCCCCGATCGTTTGAACAAAAAAATCGAAAAAAACACCCACAGAATTCGGCTATAACCAGAAAGCGTTCACTGTTTGATTCTTTTGAGAGATTTGACCCCATAGTTTTCAATAACAATTGTAGCATGTCTAAATGTAGTGATGCATTTCCTGTAAATAAACAAGCTTTGACAGTTCGACGTCAAATGCAAGTTACCTTGACATGGAAGTATA